CCTCCCCCCCTGATCTCACTATCTGTCTGCACACCCTCCCCCCTGATCTCACTATCTGCCTGTACATCCTCCCCCCCTGATCTCACTATCTGTCTGCACACCCTCCCCCCTGATCTCACTATCTGCCTGTACATCCTCCCCCCATCCCCCCTGACCTCACTATCTGCCTGTACACCCTCCACCCTGACCTCACTATCTTCCTGTACACCCTCCACCCTGATAGTAGGTAGCGGGATCCTGGTACTGTCATATATCACTGAACACTGATTTCTCCAGCTCTCCAAACTCCAGGACTTCTTATTGTAGCCAATCTCTGACTGACCTTCCTTCCGGTCTATACTGAGGTAACACATCCCCATTCTCCAGAAGTGTGAACTCCTAATCTCCACTTCCCAGTAATGTCGCCCCAAAGGAGAAACTCCGACTGCCTATCACCTGAGGATAAATCTGGAACCTCTCGGGTGTTTCTGGGCGATTCTGGTGTGGTAAATAGGATGCAGTTTTCCTGTCATCTGATATATGGAGATCATTACTGGCTCTGTTTACATCCAGTAATATGTCTACAGCATTCCCTTCATGCACCTCTCTGACTATATCAGATAAACCTGAGTGTAATGTGTGTGAAATCACAGTCATATCCAAGTCCCCTCCATCTTGAAGGAGTTTATCATGTCTGTCCTCATAATCTCCCTCCTCACACAAGTGACCCGAGTCTGATTCCTGTAGGACAATCAGTGGATCCGTCATGTTACACAGCTCCTCAATGTTACGCATCTTCTGGGACAGCTCGTCCTTCTTTATTTCCAGCTGATGAATTACATTTGACACGTGAGGTAAAACCCGCTCTGCCTGTCCGGAGATCTCCCCGAGGACCCTCTTCTCCAGGTCTTCCAGACCTCTCCTAAGTTCTCTAAACAGAGCAATGACTCTCTCCTTGTAACCACCTGCCTTTCCTTCTACTTTGCCCCCATGTTCCTGCAGATTGAACACTTTTCTCCATCTTTAATATCAGTTTCTGTAGACTATTTCTCAGCTTTTGCTTCTCTGAGGCTTCATCCAGTAACGCCATCTGATGTCCTCTATGTTCTCCAATCAGACAGCAGGACACACAGATACAGGCCTCGCTGCAGTAATACTCCAGGATCTTCTTATGGATGGAGCATTTCCTTCTTCCCAGGGACGTGGTGAGGTCACATAAGATGTGCTCTGGTGCCTTGATGTCGGACTCTTAGATGTTTATCACACAGAGAAGCTTCACACAGCAGACAGGATCTAACAGCCGCTACAGGAGCATCCACACAGTAAGTATAGAGGACCCCAGACTCCTCCTGATCTGGCTGAGCGGATAGGAAACTCACTACGATGTTCAGTAGAGTTATGTTCCTGTGCAGAGCAGGCCGATACTGAAAGTCTTCTCTGCATTACGGACATGAATACCATTCAGACCCCTCCTGTGTATCCAGCAGACGATCAATACCCACCCGGCAGAAGTTGTGTCCACATGTCAGGTTCACGTGATCTGTATAAATGGACAGAGAGATGGAACATTCCAGCTCCTTCCTTAGGTCAACAGGCGCCATTGCTGTAACTAGCAGAGGAAACAGAAACTGAAAGTATCTAATGCTCAGAATGTGAGGGAGTTTCCCATTTTTTTTTCTTCCACAGTTGAAGCTGTGATACATCCAGGGAGATTGATCAAACTAGCCTGTAGGCGGGGTTCACTCTCGGGGTGTTGCGTGTGAGTTCCCTTTTGTTTGGGTCTGGTAACCCCGTGCATGCAACTCGACACCAGGCACCCCACGGTCAGGGGCCTCGGCTCTGGCCTCGTGCAAACACTCTCACACATGTAGTACTGCGCACACAGGGCCTTATGGCTTCCACCGCCTCTGCGGTATTCGGCGCTTCCTCCCCCGTAGGGAGAAAGGCCGCCATGAAAGGCACCCCATGTCGGGCATAGCCCCTTTGCACACCTACCCTCCTCAGGATGGTTACAGCCACGATACAGTCCAACATCACACTCCTGTAGAACCCCACCTTCTCAGAGGTTGGAGGGAGAAGAACCAGTCCACACAGATAGTCTTTTCTTGGTTTTACTTGAAAAGGATGAACATGACAATAAGCATACGTTCAGCCACCCCCGAGTGGGATGACGGCACATCTCTTGATAGTTGCATGGTAATACAGATTAGAGATAGTGGAATCTATCCAATGTTACGCAGACAGCAAACAAACAAAAAATGACCGGGGTTTTAACCATTCCCTACTGTAACACACAAAAAAAGTTTTGGCTTTAAAAATGCTTTAGTATGCGAAAAGAAAAATGATTGACTAAACCTACAATTTTTTTCTTTCTTAACAGAGGCCTATACACTAGACAAAAATAGGAACAACTTAGGAAGAAAGAGCGACAGAGGGATTTGGTTCTAAAGGTGGGACAGTTGGGAGCCATAAGGATGGCAATAATTAGGCAATGCGTGTGTGTATTGCTTACCTTGGGAGGAGATGGCACCAGGATGCTCTATGGGAAGAAGGCAAACCAGCAGAGGCAGTTTGATGCTTTGGACAATGTTCTGCTGGGAGACCTTTGGTCCTGCCATGCACGTGGATGTGATTTTGACACGTATCACCGACCTAAACATTGTTGCTGACCAAGTACTTCATGGAAACGGTATTCCCCGATGGCAGTGGCCTCTTTCCACAAGATAATGCGCCCTGCCACACTGCAAAAATGGTTCAAGAATGGTTTGAGGAACACAACACTGAGTTTGAGGTATTACGCAGTGCTATCGCCGGCACCCGAACGTGTGGCACATTAGTGCCTCCGCTCCGGTCCAGTGCGATCTGCAAAATGTAGTGCATTCGGCATTTTTGCCTCAAAACAAAGTGAGCCGGCGGGGTTGTGTTCCAGAGGCCGAACGCTCTGGAACGGACCCTTTATGGTGTGACTGGGCCCTGATCCCTGGAGGTCCCACCTCGCAACCTACAGGACTTAAAGGATCTGCTGCTTATGGCTGATTGGTGTATAATGCAAGGATAATACATGATGTGTTATATAAATTGTATGAGTTGCGGCCTTTTCGGCATTGAGCTCATAACTTTCTGTGCGGCTGTTATCAGCCCTGCCTAGTCCTCCGCCGTGAACTACAGAAAACCTTCCCAATATATTGGATATGAGGAGAGAGTAAAGTATTTGTAACCCAGTCCTAAGGTGACAACAAATGATGGGCTAGGTGCAAACCCAGTTCACCGTAGTTTGCCCAAGCTCACCCAAAGCTGTCACTGACACATCCCCCTCCAGGCCTAGTCAGTTGCGGCTGGGACATTCACCGTCCCACAGCTACACGTCACAAAGGGACGTGGAATGGCCGTGTCACAACTGATTGGGCCGAGAGGGGGGTCTGTCATTCACAGTTTTGCACAGGCTTGGGTGAACTGGGTTGGCACCAAGCTTCCATACTTTCTCAGTGACAAAGCTGTTCCTCTATAGATACAGTAGTGAGTAAGCGTTGTCACCCCAGGACAGGAAGTGTTCTACCGGCAGGATAACCAGGTGAGAATAAAGGATAAAAACGTGAGAAACTAATTATCAATAATTTTAAAGATGCAGCTTTTTATTAAAATATTCCTGTCCTGCCATGAAGGTCTTTGTTCAGACACTTCCTTCTATAGGGTAACAATACTCTGTCCCTGTCTCGTAATTGTGCACTAGTGTTGTTACCCTGATTTAAGATAGAACATAGCTGCATTTTCAGTATAAAATATCAGCAAAAAAAGGCACTTATTGTTCTCCAATGACAGGTTCTCTTTAGGTTTACAGACCGCTTTTACACTGTAAGCGCTAGGGAGCTCAATATACGTCGTTCTCTCCAACGGGGGCCATTTTCCCTGCGCCTTTCTGCTGTCTAAACGAACATTTGGACTACATAAAAATGGACACCTTCCGTATTCTCAGATGATTCGTCCATATTTTACCTTTATTTGTTTTATTTCAAAATAATTTCACACATTTTAAATGTACGTATTAGGCACACTTACCATCGCTGGGAAATATTATAAATTGTTCATATGTACCGAGGCAAACAGGTTATCGGGTAATAACAAATCTGGACCACAACTCCCGGCATGCCCCGCGTCCCTGAAGCCTGAAATCTCAGGGTGGTGCTTGCTGGGAGCTGTAGTTTTTCTGTTGACAGGCGGTGCTGGTGACATTTGTTGCCGTGTTTCTGGTGAATGGTAGGCGCATTGGTTGAAGGGTTGCTCTTAGGCGAGGTGTGTCAGGGAAGCACACACTGGCAGAGCTCGAAAGAGGGGGGTTAGAGGTGAGTTGTGTTAGGGGGGCACACTGGAAGTGCCAGGGGAGACAAAGTTAACTTTATACGGGGGCACACACTGGCATTTCCCAGGGAGGGGAGTGGAGCTGTAGTAGGGGGCACACATTGACAGTGCCCAGGGAAGGGGGTACTGAAGTGAGCTATACTGGGGGCACACATTAGCATTGCCCAGGGAGGGGAGGGGAGGGGAGTGGAGCTGTAGTAAGGGGCACACATTGACAGTGCCCAGGGAAGGGAGTGGAGCTGTAGTAGGGGGCACACATTGGCATTGCCCAGGGAGGGGAATGGAGCTGTACTAGGGGTCACACATTGACAGTGCCCAGGGAGTGCAGTGGAGCTGTAGTAGGGGGCACACATTGGCATTGCCCAGGGAGTGGAGTGGAGCTGTAGTAGGGGGCACACATTGACAGTGCCCAGGGAAGGGAGTGGAGCTGTAGAAGGGGGCACACACTGACAGTGCCCAGGGAAGGGGGTACTGAAGTGAGCTATACTGGGTGCACACATTGGCATAAAGCTCTGTTTACAGTACAGAGAGGTATTGGCTAATATCATTCTTTTTACTTATTTTCAGGTGGTGTGCTCTGATGCAGGTGCCTGTTGGTGCTGAGACTACATTGGTGCGGTATTGTCGGGAGGAGTCGGCTGTTGGTACGGTGCCCTCCAGGTGTCATGGCGACCTGGCCACAAATATTTTGCAGGTTGGTGAAGAAGCAATTATCATGCTGGGCACCAGCAGGAGCACCGGGTGCACGCAGAGGACTGGCATCATCAGATGTACATGTAAGTAGCCATACGACTGATTTTGGAAAATTGAGAACCAGAAAAGTGTCTTCCAATTAGTCAGATTGCAGCTGCCATTCTGCTAATCCTGGTTGGAAAATGAAAGCCGGCATCATACTGGTAAGTTTGGTCAAAGCTGTGATTGGCCAGCCGTTCCCGAGAAATCTGCAGTTTTTGGTAAACTTTTCTTTTCCAAGGGAAACATTTATAAAAGTGGCATTTGTCATTTCTCTTTCTTGTCTGGCAGAGGTCACCCAGCTTTGGTCTTCTCTTCGATATCGATGGCGTGTTGGTGAGGGGCCGGAATCCCATCCCGGGGGCGGCCGAGGCTTTCAAGAGGTTGCTGGGCAGAGACGGGCGGCTGGCCGTGCCCGTTGTCTTCGTAACCAACGCTGGGAATTGCCTGCGTCAGGAGAGAGCGACCGAGCTGAGCCGAGTCCTGGGGATCGAGGTGAGCAAAGTAGCAAAATCGACGCGTGAACTGCTCTTGATGTCCAGACACATTTCATCTGTGCTGATGCTTTAAGCTGGCCACACACTGTTACAATTCACGGTACAATCTCCTTTAGTAGCGTGAGGGCCTGTTGTTAAATCTAAAGGGTATTGTAACGTGTGTTGCCATCTTTAAAGGGGGACTATGGGGTAAGGGCCACAGGAGGACATAAACTAGCGTCCTCCCGTTACCCAAAGCTCAGTATATCGCTAGCTACAGCTCGCGGTATACTGAGACCGCCGCAGCCGGGACAGATCCCGACATTACTGTCGAGATCCACCCAGCTGCATGCTACTGCTCGCGGTATACTGAGACGCTGAAGCGGATCCCGACAATTATGTCTGGATCCGCCCAGCTGCGTGAGTGACAGGTGGCTCTGCCTATCTAGAGACAGAGCCAGCTGTACCCGCCCCCTCCCCCATCCGTTCCACCAGTCAGCGCTGGAGGATCGGAGCGGGGAGGGGGGAATCCATCCCCTCCCCTGCCGTGACAGGATCGAGAGGTGAGCGAACGCCGGTATGTGTTCGCTCACTTCCCGATCTACTGAGCCGACCTGTGACAGTCTCATTGTCACAGGGCGGCTAGAACTATGAGGTGAGTGAAAAGCACTCACCTCATAGTTCTCCTTTAATGACTTGGCTCTGGCAGGTGAGGAGGTCATTGAGGGAGGACGAGGAAGGAATGTTCTAATGGGAAGGGCGAAGGTTTCATGGATCTCTTGCTTTGTCCTGTACACATCGGGCAGTATTTCATCATCTAAACTCTTCTGTTTCCTCAGGTGTCTCGGGATCAAGTGATTCTTTCCCATAGTCCTTTGCGGATGTTCCGTCAGTTCCATGACAAGAGGGTTTTGGTGTCCGGTCAGGGTCCGGTGGAAGAAGTTGCCAAGGAGTATCCTTTGACACACTTTGTTTTGATACGGTTATTCTAGAGGGGATTACCTCTCATCTTATGGGAGACCTACTCACTTCCTGTTAAGTGTCTGGGACAGGAAGTAAAGGGAAAGCTCCCAAGTGAGGACACATACAGCAATATAAATCTGACAGGGGTTCTAACCCTTCCCCACTCCTTCCAAAACTAATTTATTTATACTTTAAGCCAGTGGTTCTCAGAAATAGGCTGCCGGGACCTGTTGCCAGGGCTGTTCGCACCTTGTGCTTTAACACTGAGTGGACACTGCTCTATTAGGCATCACAAGAAGGCATTATAAATCAGTAATTCCCTTGATGCCGAGCAGCAGCCGTACAGGGACATGCCGGGGAGTAAGGTCCTGTGCTTCCTCTACCCAGTCAAGTGACCCATCATATCTCCAACAGTTCAACCAGAGCCCCCAGCCCTTAGTGCCCCTGCCCCCCAACTTCCCACAGTGTTATCCAGTCTCCCACAGTGCCCCAGAGCCCTCTGTAGTGCCCCC